TCTGCAAGTGCACGGCTCCATGCCATCACTTATACGGTTCTGAAACCTCGCCGGTCCACTCCAACGGACAGGACGAAACTCGAGGCCCAGTGCCTCCGAGAGGCACAACTCCCAAGTTTACGAAAAGAAGCCGACTGCAAAAAATCAAGCACTTGCTGAGCCACCCGACACACAGGGACCATGGGCGACGCTCGGGGTGCGAGGATGTGGCATGCGACTAGTTTTGCTGGTGGATACAGAGCGAGCGTGTCCCTGGCTTGCTCTCCTCGAACGGCAATGGTGGCCTTCCCGAACCAATTTCTACTCACCATGCCTACCATGCATTATCTGCATGTAACTTCGGCATTCTTGATCGCATCTGGGCGGGGCAAGAACATCAAAATACATCAAACAAGGTGCCGATGTCGAAGTATGCGCGGTTACAAGGTGCGGCACTAGCCGAAAAATTCTCTCAAGTTGGGATCAGGCCCATAGCTCACCATCACGGAAGTCGGAACAGGGAAACTAAAGTTGTCAGTAAACTGCTGGTGCGCAGCAGAACTCGGCTAGCCAGTTATCCTGCCGATTGCCGCAATCGGGTCAAGGCCTAAGAGTCGGCGCACGCACAACAGTCACATGGCCCTTGGATCAAGACCCTTCGCTACCAGCTTCAGCTTTCACATTCTGTAAGCTTCATCATACCAATCCGGGTCCAGGCAGCATGCAAGCATTTCAGCATGGCCTACGTGTGAAGTGAGCACATGAGCTCCCACCTTTCCACACGTCTCGCGAGCAAGTTTCGCTCATCAACACAGTGCAACAGTGACAGCTATTCGGGTCGTCTGGCTTGGAACAGGGCTGGCCTGACCTGCTTTTTGCTACACAACTGCATACACTTTGATTTAGACAGCGAGGGTTCCGCGTGCCATCCAGGCAGAGTTCGCAAGCCGAAAATCTCGATAACATCCAACGAGCTCCAGCATTGCAATGCTTCGCTTGCAACGAGGTAGCGCAGAAAAGAAAGTGAGCCGAGCAAGGGACCCCGCATGGATCTTCCTGGAAGTTGGTATTAGAAGTAGTTGCAATGTAGTAAGATAACCGGGTCCCTCAGGTGCAAGCTCCATCTCGAGGCGTGTGGCCAGGACGAAGACATGCCTTCGGCTTGCCACCTCCTGAGAGCCGGGCCCGACAAATGACCTTGCGGCGTGGGCATCATCTCCAATCGAGAGGATAGCGTGGGCCTTTCAAGCCTGCAAGGTTCAGTACTCGAGATGTACTAGTTTACATGCTGTGCCCCTCAGGCGCAGGAGTTGCCGAAGTGGTTGCAGCACCAGACCTGTGGCCCAAGCCCATTAGGCCCATGAGCAGCCGCGACAGCCCTACAATTTTACGGGCCTGCTTGGGATGGGACCAGCCCGCTTGCCAGTTGGCGACGCCAGCCTCGGTGCGCTGCACGGCGCGAGCATTGCGCCGGCACTTCCACTTGCCAGCTCTAAGCGAGGAGCCAAGCAGTTGAAGGGCAGGTGCCCGTGCGAGCTGACTTGCACCCGGTGTCCGCCTCCGCCTGGCGATGCGAAGCCGGGACTGCCGGGACTGCCGCTGGCCTCCGGTTTGATGACCTCCGGCGGTGCTCCAGCTCCACATCATGCCGCTGCCCGCAGCGGACGGGGGATGCGCGTGGTCTGAGCAGGCACGAAAGACCCAGACGCTTCTGCGGACCCCTCCATCACTCGGCGGATGAGGCTCCCACTGTAAAAGCCACCGCCGTGGTGGACGACGTGGTGCACGACGACGCTGCCTCCTGAGACAAAGGCCGGCACTCAACTCAACGGGTGCGTCGCAGAATAGTCCGGAGATTGGCAGTGGTCCCGCGTCAATTCCGAAGTGTATTCCTCTTCCCGCCGGCCGAAAAATTATTGACGTGATCCACTGCGGGATAGCTGTGACTCATTTTCAAGCGCCGTCCGTTCGATCAGAAGTGAAGCCGAACCGCTAGAACGAAACACAACCTTGGACTTATTTCCCTTCGGGGCGCCTGCCACACCTCCTCCGGCGGCGGCTCCGCCTTCGCATCCAAGGTGTTGGTTGGAGCAGCACCAGCCCTGCACAGCGCGAGTCTCTGGGCTCTCAGTCTCTCTCGAGAACAACTACAGGCCTTCTTGCCCGGGGACCAGCCGGTACGCCAGTTGTGCATGCCGGCGTGGCAGTCGTAGGGCATGCTGGCGTGGCCGTGGCCGTGCACTGCCGTCCAGGTCCAGTAGCCGTTCACCTGCCGTGAGCATGCGGCGATGCTGCGATAAGGCGCAAGGCAACCCTGCGACGAAAACAAGCCTGGACGTGCTTCCAGACCATGCCGTAGCCGGCATCGACGGAAGGCGGGCGGTGGCCCTCGCAGCCCTTTCCCTGCTTGGTGCAGCACCAGTGCTTCTTCTCCGGGGACCAAGCCTCACGACAGTCTTCCCGGGCAGGGAAGGCGGTATGAGCGTATGCTATACATGTCCACAACCCACGCACAATCACGCACACTCGGGGCATCAGTCAGCACAGGCCAGGCGACCC